CGCTGAGGCTGTCAGGGACGTTAAGCGCCATCATGTAGAACATAAAAACTGATCTTCTCTCCAGTCCACCTTTACAGCCTGGTTGTGTTTATGCAAACTGTCACTAACTCTGTCAGAGTGGTAGTGACATTGAAGTCATGTGACCATGGTGTCATTGGTTTATAGCCTAACATTAGCTTTTTACCTCTGCTCTTGTATTTAGGCTTCAAACATCATAAACTGGTGTTCATTAGTGAAGATGATCCTGCTGAACAAAGCCTGTCAGGATCATAAACTGTTTGTTTTCTCTAATAATCCAAAAGACAACCTTAAAATCTCATTGGCTAGAATACACTCTTTGGGCTGTGCTCTTCTTCATCCTCTCATGCGCAACTAGACTGGACGCTACAGTGCACCACTATTGCAAAGCAGTATTATGAAACAGGACGGGCTGGACCTGGGATAGCTTGTTAACATGCTAACCAGTCGAAGAAAAATAAGTTGTAGAAACAGAAGTAAAACACTGGAGTTTATTTCCACCTCTGGAGACAGCTGTTGGTGAGTAAAGGAATGAAGTTTGAAGCTAAACTCACAATGCTTCTTCTAGATTGGTAACTAAACAGCTGTTAATGTTAACACTGGCTATTTGCAATAGCAAAAAATCATCCTTTAAGGAGAAATTTCAGAATGAAATCGAGGTTCATGCTGTTAAAAATCTGGACTCCAGCAACTAAACATGATGTACAAACCTTGCACATATATGTTATTTTCAAATGTGTTTTTGTGAATTAAGTGCAATCTAATGGTGACACTCTGCAATTGAATGAATGCCACTTTAATGCCCAGGTTTACTGTGGAACGTGGACACACCTTTTCAGACAACAGAAGAAAAAAAGGAGACTTGTGTGTGGCAGCCAGAGGGTCTTCAGCAGGGGAAGCAGGGGTTCTGAATGTCTGGAACTGTGTGTATGTGTTTGTGTGGGTGCCTCTACTTTGACTGACTTGTGTCAGTACATGTCCTACTGAAGCGAACAGAGCTTAAAATACCTAGCTGCCATTTCCTGGCACACATGGTCTCCATCATCCAGATCGGCAGTGTTGGCTCCATCATGGCTATGGCCATATTTCCAAAACAAATGGCACCTGTGAAGGAAGATTGATGATAAGTCGATTCAGTGTCAACTACTCTTCCAACCCCCAACCACCTACACAACGACAAACAATCAAATAAATCCTGCCCTTCTGCCAACTTTGAAATACTGGGATTGTTTCCTACTGGTGATCTCAGACTTTAACATATCTGTTGCACATCACAGTTGTAAGCTTCTGCAGGCAGAGTTTAAACTGAACTAGGCTTGTTGCCAATTAAGGTGTGATATAAGGTGTGATATTAGTGTGATATAAGATAATGGCATATACATTTGACCTCAAGGCTGTTCATATATATCAAACTCAAAATCAAGTTGTGTTTTGATGTAAAAAGTGGTATGACTCATCCACCAATGGGATGAGACCATGGGTGGATGACTCCAGCCTTGTTTGACTGTGGGTGGACTCAGTTTGACTTGCTAGTATTGTTAAACTGCAGATAATCACTGCTTTGTCTCATGAAAACCTCTCCCGGAAAAGGGAAACCAAGGCCCTATCTGGGAGCCAGGCCTAGGAGGAGAAATTGCAGGGGAATGACTGGACTTGGGGTCTGCACCCATGGGCCCAGTCAGGCTCATCCCCAGAAAAAAAATCAAGTAGGATGGGAACATTGGTGTCTCTGACTGCAGTAACCTGTTGGTGGACACTGGTGGTAAAGGAGGCCATAAAGATGAAAAAGGCATGACTAGCCTTGGTAACACCTGAATCAGTAAAGAGGTATCAGGGCTAAGAGGACTGCAGCTTCTGTGGTCACAGAAGAAGACAAGGAGATCATGAATGAGAACTTTCTGCTTGCTCAACCCATGAGACTGATAAGGAGTAGGAGCCAGGACTGGACCCTGGTCATTTTCAGCAGGGGTCTTGGGGTCTTGTTCACTGAGCCTGAAATCAGTCAACTAGTGTCGGCAGTAAAGCATTGATTGTCATGGTGAAGAGACGGCAAAGCATGAAGCTCTCAGTTTAGCAGTTCATGTTCCGAGACCTCCGTGATCATGAGCTTTTGGTGATGACTGAAAGGTCAGAGATCCTGGGAACAGGGAAAGAAGTCAGAGCCAGTTGAGGTTGTTTGGGGATCTGATTAGAATGCACACTAGATGCCTTACTGTGGAAGAATTCTAGGCATGTCCAACTGGTTTGAGACGCCATGGTCGTCACACAGTATGATGGAGGGATTACATAGCCTGTCTGACCCAAGGAAAGCCGGAGGACGTGGCTGGGGAGAAGTTTGTCTGGGCTGCCATCACTGCAAACCTTACCTCAGACAACATGGATGGGTGCACTTCAGTGACTAATATGTGTCTAAAATAACATTAACACTGAACTGAGCTTAATATACAGGTTGTCTGTAATAGCTGGTTAATTTCTTAAACCAGAGCTACAGGTTGATCTACATTTACACAATACACAATACACAATACACAATACACAAACACAACACAAATTTGTTCTCAGTGTTTCTTCTGATGGATAGATGACCCTCTTTAACATGCAGGATTCACTTCGCAGCAACATTTCAAGCCATATTTCTGTTCTGTAACCACAAAATCTCAATTTGGCTAATATAACAAACAAAAACAAACAAACAAGTCAGTTCCTCTGCCCGCTCTTTTCCCAGCACCATTAAAAAAGGCACTATCCCTGAGAGTGAGGTTACATGAAGTTTTGTCACATTTACTGAACTCTTATTTTCTTACCTGCTGCGATCAGAATGTATGGATCCTTCATCAGGGTCAGCAGTGGTGTCCCCTTCTGACTCTGTGGAGGAAAGAGACACAGTAACAAAAAGCTTATAGAGTCCTGAAGGGATGATGTATTTCTGTAGACCAGCCCTGAATTTATCATCACCCTGGTTCCCTCCACTAAAAACCAATGGGGTTTTACCATTGTCTTTTGGATTATTGGAGAAAAACAACAGTTAATGATCCTGACAGGTTTTGTTCAGAATGAACACCATGAACACCAGTTTATGATGTTTGAAGCCTAAATACAATCAGCAGAGGTTAAAACATAATGTTAGGCTATAAACCAATGACACCATGGTCACATGACTTCAACATCGCCACCACTAAACTTCAGTAGTTTGAGTTCAAGCTGAGTTAGTGTGAGTATAAACACAATGAGACCTTAAAGGTGGACTGGTGAGTAGATCAGTTTTCATGTTCAACGTGACGACGCTTAACGTCCCCGACAACCTCAGTGGTCTCATTTCAACACTTGTTAGCAACCAACCTTTTTTAACAGACGTGAAAGCTTCAAGAAATCAGGACTGGGGTATTTACTGACGTACTTTATGTTGTAGAATAAAACATGAAAATGTCTTGAGTTGGTGTTAACCACAGACCTTATTTCAGTCCAATCACACCAAAAACCCATTCAAAACACCCAGAGAATTCAGGATGAGGGAACAGGAAGTGATAAAATGCAGCTTATTTCCAGGTTTTTGGACTCAATCCTCTCTCTATAGGGAGGCTCCCAATATGAACCCCCACTGGTCAAAGCTGCTTTTGGACAAAAAAATATAATATTTCTTTTATGTAACAACATTATCATAAAGATAACTACCTCCTCCCTCTGAAATATAACCTTTGTGAACTAATCCAGTAGACAGCTAGGTAAAGGGTCATGGTTAGTTATTACTAACCACATCTGTTAAACTGTCCGAATGTATAACTCCTCCAACCTGAACAACCACAGGTTGTTTTTTCAACCCTCTGATACAACCCGTAGGAGTGACTCCTGAAATAGTGTCCATACGGCAGCATGCATACCAGACCTTGGTTGTCATGGTTACAGTAATAAATGCATCGACTGTATCGAGAGCAGCGTACCTACCTTCGTCACCATGGTTATTATAATAACGGCCATGGCTTGGTTAGGTTTAGGAAAAGATGGTGATTTGGGTTCAAATGAGTACTTCCTTAACATTAGACGATCTTGTTGTCATAGTTACAATAATAACAAGGTGGTTAACTTTTTCGAATGGAGATGGACAATAGAAACAACATAAACTGCTACTTTTACATGGGAATCGAACACTGCTCTCCTGTGTCATATTCATCCATCCACCACAACCTCCTCCTGACCTGGACTTTGTCTCTCTTTATTGCACTGTTCCCTTTGCTCCTGCCATAATTACTAAGACCACTAGATGTCGCCTAACAACAAAACATAACTATGGCCCAAAATAACCTGCTGCACTGACGACCTATGGACTCATTTTTTTACAGGAGGACAGTCTCGAAATGTAAGACAAAAATCTGTATTAATATGCCGAAACAAATTAAACACTATCTGTCCTTAAAGGGCCGGCATGTTATTTGGAGTAAATGAAAAGTCAAACACCTGACACATGAAACTGATAATGAGATTTCCTGTTTAATACAGAATGTGTGAGCCTAACACACCTTGTTCGTTAATTAAGCAAGCCGCTGGACATGCCTGAGATGAAGGATGATGAAAAGGTGAAAGAATCTGCTAATGACCAGGAACAGATTCTCCTGTTGCTTTGCTTCCATTATCAGTTGTGTTTGGTTGTTATCTCCGCTAATATATTAGATCATGTGTCATCCTTGAAGACAAGCATCTTGTCTTTGTCTCTCTGCTGAAGGAGTTATGTCTAATGAGTTCACTGAAGCATCTGTGAGATGCTATTCACTCTCAATAAGCCTAACAGCTCCATACATTTAAAACAGAGTAAACTGGACTATTCCCATCATGAGTAAAATGTAAGAATTCACAAAAGAAATGTGCTGTATGCTGATTAGGAAATAATATTTACATGTCAAGCCAGTAAAAATGTCACATCAAACTTTCCCCAAAAGTAAATTGTGACTTTAAGTAATTTTATTTTTAGTTTTACTGCCTTTAAACCAGTTTTTCTTACCCATTTTAAACATGTCTATTTTCACATTCTGTAAAGTGCTCTCAGACGTTTGGACCCTACTGTATATAATATCAACATATACTGACAGACTTTGGGATGGATATATATTAACATATGTATACAATATAAGCATATACAGTATATGTAAGCATTCATATTTCTGTGGGCTTGACATATATGTCAATATGTAAAATTATTTCAATTTCCATTAGGTTTCATATCTCATTGTTATATATGTATTTCATATATGGAAATTCACTATATGTACATATATACATTTGCATATGCTAGATTTCAAATAGCTTTCCAATTGGCTGTTGCCGACGCCTCTTGGCAAAGAACCAGTCACTCGTCTGACAAAGGATAATGGTAATAAATTACAGTTTCCTTCGATGCTGTAAATCTGGTGTTGTGAGATTATACAGTATAAACTCAGTAATTTCAACTTTAGTTTAAAATGAGCTGAAAGTTGGATCCTGAATGTTAAATGTTTAGTTGTTTGCTTGGGTGAATGCCAGGTACTTAGAGCTATTTAGAGCCAAGTCAGAGGTGCTGCTGTATACAGAGCAGATTCTGTCATGGATATTTGGTTTCATGCCATCCACCTTCTCTGTTTCTCCCGACCCCTCCTGTATTTAATATCTAATTAAGAAAAAAGGCCATTATAGAGACTTTAAAATGCTCTGAAGCTGTAACGGTCATCTTAATTAATAGAGAAAACCTCAGGAAATGAATCATCATGATAAACAAACTCACCTCTGGTTCAACCTTGGTCGGCTGAAGGACAAACAGCTGCAGAGCTGAGAAGACACACAAAGTCAAATCAGTATAATTATGATGAACAACGTTAAGCTCACACCTAATTCTCACCATTCCTTCTACAATAACTACTCTACTTGGGTGTAAGAAACGTAACTGTACCTCCATCAAACACAGCCAGGAATGCCAGGATAAGGAAAGGAGCAGTCTTCCCCACAAACTCGTACATCACACTGCCGAACGGGGGTCCAACTGTGGAAGACCAAACTAAATGGTCAGTGGTGGAGAGATCAGTTATTACAGCTCTCTCCCCTACAAGACAGCTCAGGGTGCAACAGGTCTGTAGAATAACAATGGAAGACATGGAGGTGACAATCATATTTCATTATCTTACACTTGTTGGTTGTAGAATGGTGAGTTTGCAGCTTTATAATTAAAGATGACCTAATATGGCCATTTTTAGTGTTCATCATTTCATTCTTGGTGTCTACTAAAATAGATTTACATGTTTAATGTTCTGAAAAGACATTATTTTTCTTCATTTTATACTCTACTCTATTCACCCTGTGTCTGAAACACTGTTAAAGCTGAGGGCCTCCCCTCCCAATCAGAGCACACTGGACTCAGCTTGCTGGCAACTACCATGGCACATTCCAAATGTCTTGTGTAAACAAACGGTTGTGGTAGCTTCGGTGCTGCCTTATCGTTTTGAACAAGAGTCCAATCTTGAACCAGAAGATGGGCAGCAACAAGAGAAGTATTGATGCCAATAAGACCAGGAAGTAATCTCTGGACCCTCAATGAGGTGGTTCATACAAAGGCAGAAAATTGGGTTTTGCCGTGACAGAGTTATTCCCTTTGGTGTAAACTTTGATCCTTGTGACTCTGGAGACCATTTACATGCACAAAAGCCTGTATAACATACTATAAGTAAGGGAAAACTCAGAAAAGCATAACAGGTCCCCTTTAACTTAAGTTTTGATCAGCTATTTCAGGCTATAGGTGAACACGTGGCACATCTAACATTTATTGTGACTCTGTGGCATCATTTACCACACAAATTTACTGACAAATATAAATAAATGTGTAATGGCTCTGTTTGAGCCTCTAACAAACAGAGGAGAGTTTATCACACTAAGTAACTACATAATAACTATATATAGCGTAATTTGAACTGAACACAGATTCTTTAATCTGACAGCACTCAGACGATGTGAAAATGTTTTCTGTCATTTCATCTTTACTAATTGATGATTTAATTCACTGAGCAGCTCAGAGGCTACCGGCAGCTACCCGGCATTTTTTGAAGGTGGAATGTTTTCTTGAGATTTACTTGATCTGGATTATGTGAACTGTAGATATTTAATTTCACCTGGAGAAAAAAAGGATAATAATTATATAATATATATTATTTATATATATAATATATAAATAATTTAACCCCACTTTCATGCAAAACATTGTTGAATGTCTTCACTCGGTTCTTAACAGTAATGTTTGTTGGTAAATGTTGAGACGTTCATGTCACACATGTCTGCAGCTTCACAACATGCTTCAAAACCAGAAACAAGGCGGTGAGTTTGGGGACGTACATCAAGGTGTTGCGCAGGGACTGGTATGATTGGTTCAACTTGTGGGAAAATATGATGTTTGGTCAAATTTATGGAAAGGTTGCGGTGATTGGACAAGAATGCAGAATTCACAGGGATTGGTTGAATTTGCGTTAATTATTGCGAATGTGACATTCTGGACTGACTGATAAATGAACACTTCAGTCAGTCTGACTCAGACATCAACTACTTCTCTTTTCTTTCTCTCCTCTCTGCAGCAGAAACAGCCTGACATTAACTTTAACTGTTTTATCTGCTTCACATATTCATAACAGTTTGTTCATCATCAGACAAAAGATAGAAAAATACACAGTGAGAAACTTCATGATAATTCATGCACTTATTTACAATATATCCTCAGTCTGACTTCAATAGAAATCATATTCAGAAATAGAAATAATTAGAAAGTTTTTCTAGTGTTTCTTTTTTATTCCAGTCATGTAATCATCATTTCATAATTTCACCTTGTTGAATATAGCTTTATGACATCACTATAAATGAATTCACCTGCAGGTATCACCCAACCCAGGGTTAACTGAGCCAGTTAATCACCTGCTTTGTAGTACAGGTTATCAAGACGAACAGTGTTTGGTTCAGTAAAGCCAGATAACTAAAAGTTATCCTGGGTATGTTGAACTTGATTTTTAGTACAGGCCTCTGGTGTGTCACCTGTTGAAGCATCTCGTGGTTGGACCATGTATGTTTACATACCCAACACTCCCAGTGCTAGACCTCCCAGGGCAATGCCGATTGCATGACCTCTCTCCTCGTCATTCGTGTACACACTAGCAAGCATTCCCATCCCTGAAAACACACACATGTACAGATTACAAGGTAGTTATCCTGCAGGAGCTTTACAATAAATACTAAAGACATTGACAATAGCTACATTAACACTGACTGCTGAGGTAGCTAGCATCATGATAATGATGACTTTCATATATGAAATGTAACTGTGGACATTGTTGTCGATACTATGCTAAACCACTAAGTGACATAAGTAGAATCAGTTTTATAGCAAACAACCCAAATACAAGTGTGAGTGTGCCAATACTTTTGCTTGTCTTTGTCACTTAAGCTATGTTATGGCTGAGTAAAGCCCGCAGCCAGATTTAGTATTTGCCCAAAGGCTAATCCCATTCGCTAATCAAGAAATAAACAGCCTCATTATGAGATGAACCCAGACTCATACCCCATTTACACCTGGTGTTATAATGTGTTTTTAAAAAGATTACAGTCAGATAGAGCTCGACCACATGAAGCTACAGGTGTAATCTCACCAAGACACACTGAGGACAGACTGTGATCTGATCAGTCAGGGACACATCGTGAAAACATTCAACACAAGTGTAAATAATACTGTGCTGTCATCCACATACAACAACTGCGTGGCTGGAAATATGTAATTACCACAGCAAGGCAGCTAGCAGCCATTACAATACCAACCACCCTCTCCACAACATTCTGGCAGGACAGAGAAGCAGCTGCAGCTGCAGCAAACGTCTCATATCACTGTGCTGCAGAACAGAGAGGTTCAGGAGATCCTTTGTTCCCACTGCCATCAGGTTATACAACACCTCAGCCAAAGGAAGTGGACTAATCTAATTATTACTGTTTATTTATTATTAACTGTTTTTATTATTATTATTATTATCAACAATGAGCTAATGGACACATTTATTTCCCCTAGGGGATAAATAAAGTATCTATCTATCTATCTATCTATCTATCTATCTATCTATCTATCTATCTATCTATCAATGTATCTACCTATACCTATACGATATACCTATCTATAGTTGCTAAGTTGTAGTAGTCCTAATTAATGGTACAACTGTCACTACACTATCTCTGACAAAGTCAATGTTGCCTTTTTTTGATTGTACTTCACCTGACCTACCTTAGCTACAACAATATTAGCATTAGCTAAATTAGTATTTCTCTCACACCTACAAATTAAGAAACAATAGAAGGCCTGTGTGACAAACACTTTTGTGGCATCAAAGTAAATGACTTGCCTCCTTCCTGGAAACCCTGCATCTCTTGTCTAGCACCATCCAGACTACAAACAACCCATAATGCAGCAGTCTGGCTTTTAACTGAATTTAATTTACTTTTATTTATTTATTCATCTTTATACATATATATATATTAACCCTTTACTGGTATATCCTTTTGTTCTATGATTACTTTCTTGATTGTTTTCCTTCTACTACCTATTTTTATTTCTGGTTATTTATTTGATTTCTACTTTTATTTCTGGTTTTACTCCCTTTCAGCTTCCTCTTTTAGCATTTAGTTTGTAGCATTTTTACATTTCTATTTTCATAATTTATCTTTACTACTCTTTACTACTACTAGTAGTATTTTATTTAATTATCCTACCTTTTATTTCTGGTTCTACTCACTTTAATACATCTCTTCTGTTTTAGTATTTTATTGTTTTATTTTTATCTTTGATTGTGGGGGTGTGGGGGGTTGTTTTTTATTGCTTTTATTCTGTGAAGTATTTTATGTTACATTGTTTGTATGAAAATTGCAACACAAATAAAGTCTGATTGATTGGTTGAGTGGATCTAAATGAACACGCTCAGTCTGTCACACAAAAGCAAATAGTCATTCACTGCCTGCTGTGGATTTGTGTTAACGTGTTCAGATATGCTGGATGTGAGCATCAGATGGAATCAGACAGGAGAAGGTCTTACCTGCCACAGAGGAGCAGGAGGAGCCTACACCTTGAAGCGATCTGGCCAGAAACAGCAGAGCGTAGCTCGATGAAAAGGCGAACACTTTACAACAGTGAGAACAACAGAAATATAAACACAGAAACATCACGAGAGATGAAAGCTTTGTGATCTGATAATGAAGACGTGTCGGCTGGAACTCACTGATGGTGGAGAGGAACATGATACAGAAGCCGGCAAATATGGGAAGTTGGTATCCAATTCTTAAGGGACAAAGAGAGAAAAAGGCTGAGCACATCATCAGTTTGAGATGTCTATACAAATATACCTCAAATAAATGACATTATTTTCAAGCTGAAATTCATGATTTCAAGGCAGTGATATTACAATTAACAATTAGAAGTCTTAAATGACAGCTGATAACTGCAGAACACTTCAGCCACAGTAGTGATGATGCTGTGAATAACATGAGAGAAATCCATCTTCAGTTTGAATCCAGTGTTTCTACGGTCAACTAGGACACGTGTCGATATAAAATCATCATCACTCATAAGAATAAGTGTCTTGTAAGTATTTTTAGAAATTCTGACAATCTTGACACACACATATATATATATATATATACACAAACACACAAGACACACACATATATATATATATATATGTGTGTGTGTGTGTGTCTTGTTTGTGTTTGTGTATTGATATACAGTGCATCCGGAAAGTATTCACACCCCTTCACTTTCCCCACATTTTGTTATGTTACAGCCTTATTCCGAAATGGATTAAATTCCTTTTTTTCCTCATCAATCTACACAAAATACCCCATAATGACAAAGTGAAAAAGGTTTTTTAGAAATTCTTGCAAATTTATTAAAAATAAAAAACTGAAATATCGCATGTACATAAGTATTCACACCCTTTGCTATGACACTCAAAAGTGATCTTAGGTGCATCCTGTTTCCACTGATCATCCTTGAGATGTTTCTACAACTTGATTGGAGTCTACCTGTAGTAAATTCAATTGATTGGACATGATTCGGAAAGGCACACACGTGTCTATATAAGGTTCCACTGTTGACAGTGCATGTCAGAGCAGAAACCAAGCCATGAAGTCAAAGGAATTGTCTATAGACCTCTGAGACAGGATTGTATTGAGGCACAGACCTGGGGAAGGGTACAAAAACATTTCTGCAGCATTGAAGGTCCCGAAGAGCACAGTGGTCTCCATCATTTGTAAATGAAAGAAGTTTGGAACCACCTGGACTCTTCCTAGAGCGGGCTGCCCAGCCAAACTGAGCAATCAGGGGAGAAGGGCCTTGGTCAGGGAGGTGACCAAGAACCCGATGGTCAGTCTGACAGAGCTCCAGCGTTCCTCTGTGGAGATGGGAGAAACTTCCAGAAGGACAACCGTCTCTGCAGCACTCCACCAATCAAGCCTTTATGGTAGGGAGTGGCCAGACGGAAGCCTCTACTCAGTAAAAGGCACATGACAGCCCGCTTGGAGTTTGCCAGAAGGCACCTAAAGGACTCTCAGACCATGAGAAACAAGATTCTCTGGTCTGATGAAACCAAGATTGAACTCTTTGGCCTGAATGCCAAGTGTCACGTCTGGAGGAAACCAGGCACTTCTCATGACCTGGCTAATACCATCTCTACGGTGGAGCATGGTGGTGGCAGCATCATGCTGTGGGGATGTTTTTCAGCAGCAGGAACTGGGAGACTAGTCAGGATCGAGGGAAAGATGAACAGAGCAAAGTACAGAGAAATCCTTGATGAAAACCTGCTCCAGAACGCTCAGGACCTCAGACTGGGGCAAAGGTTTACCTTCCAACAGGACAACGACCCTAAGCACACAGCCAAGACAACGAAGGAGTGGCTTCGGGACAAGTCTCTGTCCTTGAGTGGCCTGGCCGGAACCCAGACTTGAACCTGATTGAACATCTCTGGAAAGACCTGAGAATAGCTGTGCAGCGACGCTCCCCATCTAACCTGACAGAGCTTGAGTGGATCTGCAGTGAAGACTGGGAGAAATACCCCAAATACAGGTGTGCCAAGCTTGTAGCTTCATACCCAAGAAGACTTGAGGCTGTAATCGCTGCCAAAGGTGCCTCAACAAAGTACTGAGTAAAGGGTGTGAATACTTATGTACATGCGATATTTCATTTTTTTTATTTTTAATAAATTTGCAAAAATTTCTAAAAAACCTTTTTCGCTTTGTCATTATGGGGTATTGTGTGTTGATTGATGAGAAAAAAAAGGAATTTAATCCATTTTGGAATAAGGCTGTAACATAACAAAATGTAGGGAAAGTGAAGGGGTGTGAATACTTTCTGGATGCACTGTATATATATATACACACACACAAAGACACACATGTAGTGGTGTAGAGACTAGTTTATAATTCTTAATGATTTCACACAACCCACAAAATTGATGTGTGTGAAACTACAGGTCTGTATCACAGTATTATGAATCAATTGTGGTTTATTTGGTAGCTTTCCCTGCTGTGACTGATTTTACTAATTGCATTAGTACTCTAGAGAGATAGAAGTGCACTATTCTCCCACTCCGGTGGGGAGACCTGTGGTCAAACTACATCCCGCACCCCTCCCCATCTCCCACTACCTCTGAGCAGAGCCGTTTCTTGCTATATGCAGACTATGCCGATGCATAAGGCCCCCGCAGCTCTAGGGGGCCCTCAACCTGCAAGTTCAGCCTCAATATATTTGGGAAGAATTCAAATTACTTGTCTTTGTTTGTAACCAGCAAAGCCTCCTCATGTGTTTAGTGAAACACTTACATGCTCAAAAATCAAATGTAGGATATAAACAAAATTAAGCTGCAATAACAGGGAAGCTGTGGCTTGTGTTTGTGGGATAATCAAGTCAAAATAATCATTAGGCTATGAGGCAATGAATGATGTCTGCCGACGGGGATGATGGGATGACTGACAGCCGCACATCACATCAGTGAGGAGAATAACAGTAGCGTTAGTAACGGTATCATGGCATCAAAAAGGACTTATCCCTCCGGAAAAGAAAAAGAAGAAAACTGAAGAAGAAAAACGCTCACAGGAAAAAGGTAAGGCATTTGTTAATGATGTAGATTCACTTGTGGGGTGGAGGGTGTAGCCAATTTTTGAGCAAGTTTGCTACTTTTGTCCTGCTTGCTTGTGTGGTATCTTGAGGTGCTGATGTGAAGAAGTGATCACTGCTGACACGTCTTTACTTGCAATCAAAAAGAAGTTTATTTACAAGAAAGAAACAGTGTCAAAAAATGCCGAATCCTGGAGCATCTCTGCCAATGTGAAATCACTCTTCTAACGTCTCCAAAACCCCTCTATTTATCGGTCTCAACCCTCCTTTGGGATTTACCCTTCTTTCAATAGGGAGCCTTCACCCAGAGATTGACGACATCTGGACTGTGGCTTTTGGTCTTTGGCCTTTAACCTGTTGGGCCAGCAAGGACCCCCACATCCTGAGTCTCTCGTACCGTATTTAACAGAAACCTGATGTATAAACAGTTTTGCCCCTTAATGCTCATTCCTTAACCTAAACTTATAATGGATGGTTCACGGAAACCTTTGACAAAATCTTGGTTGACACCCTTCTTGGACTTTAGGATGAGACACACATAGAAGAAGAACATGCAACAATTTAGAATGTTGTAACATAAGAAAATGAAGTGGATAATACACTACACTTGCTCAGCTAGCCTCAGCTAAATTGTTAAGTTGGCTAGCTCAGCTAACTAGCTAGGATTGCTTGTATGCAAATAAACCCAGCTTTATACAGTGTGTGCTTTACAAAGGGGCTAAAATATAATTAGTCATTCAAATGAACTGTGCTGTGTGACTGATTGACTGAAATGACACCTGTTGTGTTGGATTATAGCAGGCTGCAGAGCATTTTGTTGCGGCAGCTCGGTAACATTAGACTAAGGGAGGGAGGGTGTGTTGTTGGGCAAATGTCGTCCAGTGGGTGTCGCCTCTAGGTCATAGACCTCCTATGCTGTTGAATATTTGACGCAGGGTTAGGGTTAGGGTTAAAGTGTAACAGATTGATGCATCTCCACAGATCATTTTCAAGGATTTGGAATCCCGCCATTGTAGTGACAAAATAGGGTCCCCAAAACAGCGTCTTGCATAGGGCCCCCAAAAAGCTAGAAATGGCTCTGCCTCTGAGAATGAGAGAGGAAACCTTCTCAGCAGAGGTCTACAAACTGGCACCCGCTCCCTCTCACAAGGTTGCCTCGTGTGATGTGGAAATGAGCGATAGAAAACCGATTTTTTTTGCAAGCACCTGTGCACCCCTGACAAGATGCCGTCCTGGGTGGCTGCATATGTTGCCCATATCTACATCCACCACTGACTGGAACTACAACATTGGAGGAGGATGACAACATGTGAATACAAGGCTAAAAGCTGCCAGGCACATCAGAGCGGCTGTGATCCTCTGTAGATACCTGACACGCTTGACTTACCTTGTATCGTCCTCTGTCAGGAGGGAAGGTGACTAAGAACCAGTAATGGGACTCAATTACAGCACATCTGAGTGACCACCTGAGACACTAAATACTGGCTTTGAGGTGAAAGCCAGCAATGTTGGAAAATTCACACTTCTCCCTCAACATGTATCTCACATTCTGTTAGGAGAATATTTAGACTGGCTCTGCTCTGGTAGCTTTTATTCTTTAGTTTTGTTCAATTTTGTTTTATGTTGTTTTGGCCCGTCATTATGTTATAATTCTCCACTCAAAATGAAAATAAATAAATAAGATAGCGCAGACCTCCAGTCAAACTTTAACCACACTTAAAAGAAATAAATTCATATTTATAGCAATTCTTCTCTGTCTCAGGCCCCATACATCCAACAAGTTTGGTGCAAATCATTTCAGTTCTTACTTCAGTACTACAAATAAATAACAATAAAAAACAAGAAAATAATACAAAATTTCACATTTGAAAAAAGTTGTGTTTTTTAGATGCATCATGTTATCATGTATCAATTTATCACTATAAATATGTAAATATTTTAGATTTCATTTCGGAGCACTATTACTTTCAGCAAATGAATGTAAGGACAGTCTTCAAGTGTCAAGCTCACAGAAATCATTTTGCGCAGTAAAGTAATTTAAGTAATACTAAAGTTAAGTTTTGTGGGTGTGACCGTGTCCATGACAAAGACTGGAGCTTGCCATGCGGAGAGGACACCAGTCGTTCTGAGATTAGTTACAATATTGCAGCATTATACGCATGTGTAGA